TACAAGCAATAAACACAAAGCACGTTTCTGATTCAAAGGGGAAGATGAGCCGGAAGAAGAAACAGCAGCAACCATAGATCTTGTACAACAGCAGGCGCAGACGCGGGAAACTCTCCTTTACCCGGTCCTCTCCTCCCGTCACAAATGTCCGTCTCCTCTTGTAGGTCACAACAGTCCAAACCACAGGTTACTGGTCGCCAGCCATTAAGTTACGAACAGGATTGAGCTTACACTATTACAACTAGACGTAACGGGGAAAACGCTCTTCTGTCTCCGATACGCTGAAGCTGAAGCCGCGCTTTCTGGAGTCGGATGACGTCATGAACCCAAACACAACACCCTTTGCGGTTTCGCCGTTTGTGTAATTCACACAACAAATAAAGAGCAGAAATAGTGGTTATTTATTTATTTCCATGGCGGAAACGATAACTGTCTTTACGGAGACACGTAACGGAGATAAAACACGTCCCCTTCAGGTGTGAATATCTTGATAACTTTACCGAACTGGAGAGATCCTTTTTACCTGTAGAGGTACGTAAAAACATCTTAGAACAATCACACGTCCACAACCATCAACCAATCACAGCTTACTGAGCTTGTAGACATGAAGTTCCTCAGTGAGCAGCTCTCTTCTGTAGAAAAGGAGCTTGGTGCTTCACTTCCATCAGACGCAGTGAAGTAACCTGAGAGTGTTTTTACTCTTCACTCTTCACCTGTTGGGGCGGAACAACTTACTCACGTATCAGTCTCAAGCTGTGAGGTCAATCATTTAGCTTCATGACAAACACAAAGTCCATGTTGTACCTGCAGGATTCAATGGCAGTATTCATGCACCTTGAACCCTCTGGCTCAGATATCCACTGTGCAAAGGATTGTGGGTAAGAACAGCCACAAAGAAGCCTGCTTGAGTGCAGTAAAATGTGACTGAATGTAGAACACAAACTAATTCCTCTAGGGATTATTTTATGTTATAATAATTTTCATTTTATTGGAATTATATGCACACACACACATATATTATTAAATCCATCCTTAAGACCTCTGGAGCTCCTTCGCTTGCTTCTAAATACGGATTCCGAACCAAATGCGTGGTCACTTTGCGTGGTAGTTGGTGGTTGGTAGACCTGGCTTACTACTCGCATTATTAAAGTTTTTGGCTATATAAAATAAAAAGAGTTGGATTGAATTGAATAGTTGTTGACGTAGCTGCTGGTGTGATACTTTGTGTTTATGCCACAACATATGAAGTGAAGCGTCCCAGTATCACCTCCATCTCCTCTAGAAGACGACTCCTGACACATTCACAGTATTCTTAATAATGTACTTCTTCTAAGTTGTTGGTTTCTATTGTACATCCTTGATAGGAAAACCAGATGTTCTGATCCGTGAACACGATTACTGGCTGCAGAGTCGAGTCCACATGAGTACTCAATGAATACATGTTTTTATTTGTTTTCTACATATTAGGATATCGTATAATAGCTTTTTGATTTCAAATGGTATTGATCTAAATAGTATTAGTTGGAAGTTAATAATCTCTTATTCTTTAAGCAGCAGTTTCCTGTGATTTCTCTGTGCATGTTGTGTACTGTGATGATGGTTGGAAACAGACAGTGTACGAACTCAAACCTTCAATTCCTCGCTTTTAATGAGTGAATTTCTATTATGCGACTTGACTTATAGTTTGATCATTAGTCCCTTTTTAGGGTGGTGCCCCATTACGTATTTATTTTGAGAATTATCTTTGTGATTATTGTTTCTAACCCGTCCGTAAAATGTCCCTTTGGTGAAAAGCTGTGGATCAGCAGCTCTGATCCAACAGATGGTGGATTTAGTTTGCTACAGACGAACAGCTCGTCATCGCTCTCAGAAGACGAAGAGGCCTCAAGAGTTTCTCTCCAACGACCCGTAAATAGTGGTGGCGCATAACGAGTCGATATGAAAGAAACAATGACGGCATAAGAAGGACCTGATTTGGACTTTGTCTCCTGCTGCCTCTCCTCTGCAGGATAAGATAAGATGATCCTTTATTAGTCCCACAGAGGGACTTTGACCGGATTAAAGCAGTAAAGTGGACGATGAAACAAGAGACACGAGTTTAAACAATCACAGAAATGAATACGACGTGTTAGTGGTCACCATCACGGGACGTTACAGAGCACCAGCATGTGTCTGCTGGAGTGGACTTGCCCTGTGGGAGACCTGCTACCTGTCCAGTGTGTGTCCCCAGCCCCCAATGCATGCTGGGACAGACTACAGTAATGGAAAGTTATAATGGTCTGTCTCCCCACTTGAACAACAGGGCAGACTTGGTGCTTCTAATGCCATCAAAATGGTTCCAAGTCCCACCAGATACGCTGTCAGCCACGTCCATCACATACAACCAGCATTTGAGCTCTTTATAACACCATCAATTGAAAAGGAGGCTTGAGATGACAAATGTAGAGGGCCGGCGTGTGAAGGGGAGAGTTGGGAAGACTTGGATGTGACGACTTGCAGCCTACATCGGGTTCTCATTGTGGCAGAAGTGTACAAGTCAAGAGAAGAAGCAACAGAAGCCTTTGTGCTGCTGACACTGGAAGGGGAATATTTACAGCCACCATGTCGCTAAATACCTTCCATGTTTAAGTGGGTAGTGGGTGTTATTTTTAATGTTTCATTTAATTTACCATTTAGGTAGTCAACGAACAAGCACAAAGCTCCTCACACATAAACATATAGAGTTTTAAATTGCTGGGGTCCAATTGACCCCAATGGTAAAAGATGTTGGTGAATTTGAAGGTAACAGGAGGGTGAAGCTGAGCGGTAAATCATTTACCTTCATGACAAACTGCACAAAGTCCATGTTGTTGTATTCGATAGCAATATACATGGCACCTTGAACCCTCATATACAGTATCTGCTGTGCAAAGGATTGTGGGTAAGAAAAGCCATAAAGAAGCCTGCGTACAGTAAAATGTGACTGAATGAACAAACTGTAATTCCTCCAGCAACCCCCCAAGGAGGAAAAACACCAGCACTGTGAAAACAAGCTGCAGGAAAGTCAATTTATATATATATATATATATATATATATATATATGTATATATATATATATATATATATATATATATATATTTTTTTTTTTTTTCATTTTCTAGTTCTTTGAATTTTTTTTATTTTTGTTGTGTATTATTATTTCTGACAACATATTATTAAATTCATCTTTAAATGATCCCCATCTCTCCATCGATCACATGAATCGAGCTGCAGGTGACAAAGTTTCCTTTGTTATAACTTAAATGGTGTATTTCTCTCTATATATATTTAACAGCTCTACTGGGGGCTCCTGAGGCCGACAGAGCAGCAGCACAGTGTCAACACCAGACACCATTTTAACTTATGAGAACAATATTATTATTTAGTTTCCTTAAGTGACATCACATTGTGGACAGTCACAGGAGGACACGTTTAAAATGGAGGAGAGCTTCAGTGTGATGAAACAGCGTGATTTTCTCCTCTAGAGGCACAAGAGTGCTTCTCATCTCTGATCAGCATTTGATGAACAACTTTACAACCACGTTGTCAGTCTCTTCTTCTTCGTCTGAATATTTTCACACTAAAGTTACTAAAGCACCTTTTTGAAGAACGTTCTTTGCTTCTCTGCAGGTTGAAATGTCTCATGAGTGTTTCTGACTCTTTGTGCAGTGAAGACTACAGACGGACGCTGGTCTGAGGTCTGTTCTGTTCATTAAAAACACACTGATGAGACAGATGTGTCTCAGCAAAGTACCGTCCATAAGTCTCAGTGAAGGGACAAAGGACAGGACACACTGCATTGATTCACAAAGGTTTTATGTACAAAATATTGTTCCAGGTCTATTCAACATATGTCACATTAGAATAATGAGACCTACTTTACATCTATGTGATCAATCTCCATATTTCACAGTACATACAGGAAGAATTCACCCTTCTAGTACTTTAGTGTACAATAAATACATGCTGTGGTCCTAAGTACAAACTCCCGGTTAGTTGTGGACAGAGTTCAGTTGTCGGTGCAGCTGAGGCCGTTGTAGAGTCACTCGTACCACAGACGAGCGATGGTTCCGTCTCTAAACTGGTTCCATCTGAACGCCACCCAGAACCTCTGGAGCTACTTTTGGCAGAGCGAGCAGTGAGAATCGGGACATCCAGGACGGCCGCACCCGTCCGCTGACGACGCGACAACACCGGCGTTCCTTGGCACGGATGGAACCCGGTTACACACATTAAACAAGCCGCCTGCCTGCTTCATTGTTTCATCCCAGTTTGTAGAGACAACGATGCAGAGACACCGATCCGACGGCCGAGACACTTTCTGTCCTCGTCCCCGTTTAAAACTGCAGAACAAACATCAGTGTCGTAGAAGCATCCGTGTGTGACGTCTCTCTGAATCCCACTGAGGACGCTTCTTCTTTAAGGCATATTTCATAAGAGCTGATATGAGTTCATGTCTCAACGTGACGACTTCTCGTGGTTTTTATCTTCAGTCCGGGAACAGAAGAAACAGGTTCACCACTAAAAGGCTACACTCGTTAAAAGCATCTTGACACACTTCTTCTTGACTGCAGTTACACAAGAAATCCTCCAGCAAACTCTCTAGAAACTCTGTGACTTCATAACATTCACTCTGTTTGACGTATTCTCATTACTTAGTGTTTGGTAAAATACTAGTCTGTAGTATAAAATCCACAGTAATAATTTGATTTATGAGATTTACTGAATGTTCAATATGGTAAAAGTGTCTTGTTATTCAAAACATTCATATCAGACTTTTTCTCCTCATTGAAAATGTCATTGATCTGTAATGTGAACGAGGCCTTTGTTGGAATCCGACCCCCTCCCTCCATGAATAACTGGCTGTGTGGTGATGGATACAAGGCGCTGCTCGTGGTGCTGAGACCGATTCTAAGGGCTGAGTCCAAGTCGCAGGTCAACCCCCCTGACACCAGACACATATAGACATTTCACATCTGTGTATATGTAACATGTACTAATGTCTATCTGCAGATTCACTACAGCAGCCTCCATTCAGGACGACTTTACAGAGACTTTGATATTTGATTAATGACGATAAACATTGTGCACTTGGAAGTCTTTGTCAAATAATTTGTATTGTGCAAATTTTTCATCAACCGGACTAGCGCAATTTATAGGAAATCAATTATATTATTTATTTGTCAGACCAATTAAATCCATGTGACGTGACCAAGCAACAGTCTGGTTCCGTGAAGCCAAAGCTGTGTCTTGTCTGTCTCTGTGTCTTCAAGCGTCTGCATTCTCTCTAATGACCAGCAGGGGGCGACGCCTCCGGTCCTACAGAAGTCTATTTCCAAGTCTATTTTTAGACCAATTCATAAAATGCATTTAGTGGACTCCAGGATACAGCCATGATTCTGAAACTATGTAATTGTAACCCCTGTGAGGTGTCTTCTGCTTTCTATGTTTGTCGTGCCGGAGCTGTTAACTCCTGTAAAATATAACGGACACAAAGGAAATTGTGGACCTCCTTTTAATCCTCCATTACACTCACACAAAATACTTAGACAGTGATCGTATAGTTTTATAACAACAGAACTTGACTACATGTAACAGAGTTCGAAATACACTGTCATTTTCAATGTATTGTATCTTATTTTTGGTTGTTATTCAACAATCTTGTTGAGTGTGTGTGTGAATTTTATTTTGATGAGTTAAATTTGCGGAAATTGAAATTCATCTCTTCTGCGCCTCCTGGGCTTCCGTAGTCCCGTTTTTCCTTCACAGAGGTTGAAGGTAAGTTGAGTGAAAAATGATGTCGCACTATTTCGCCATGTTC